TTTTTTTTTTGAGACAGTCTCAAGCTGTCACTCTGGGTAGAGTGCTGTGGTGTCACAGCTCACAGCAACCTCAAACTCTTGGGCTTAAGTGATCTCTTGTTTGAGCCTCTCAAGTAGTGGGATTACAGGCACCTACCACAATGCAGTTGTCATTGTTGATTTAAACCCGCCAGCCTGGTTGTTTGTGGCCGGTGCCCTAGCCGCTGAGCTACAGGCTCTGCCCATATAAAGATTAATCTTTTAGGTTCTTTCACTTTTAACATGCTGTGAATAAAAAAATCAAAAAAATAAAATAAGAAATGTGCTGTGAATTTGGAAACAATAAACTTAATTTCATGGAAATAACTATTTTAAAATGTTCTTATTTCTTTTGTATGTAGTCTCAAAAACATAAGTATAAAGTCCTTTTCCGAGAACCAGACACGTGGTGGAAGTTCAAACCAAAGGAACTTGCAAGGTAAAACTTGGAGGCTATTTAACAAGTTTTTTGTTTCGTGACAATTGTAGAAAGTCCATCTAGATGTTTTTCCCCTTTGTAAATGATGCATGAGTTGGTTAGATTGCAACTTTGCACTTAGTAACAAATTTTGTATTGCTTGTGGATTTTCTTTTTTTGAAGAGACCGGGTCTCTGTCATCTGGGTTGGAGTGCAGTGGCCCATCATAGCTCACTATAACCTTGAATTCCTGGGCTCAAGTGATCCTCTAGCCCAGCCTCCTGAGCAGCTGGGACTACAGGTGTATACCCCCATGACTAGCTAATTTTTTAATTTTTGGTAGAGATGAGGTCTTGGTATGTTGCCCAGGCTAGTCTTGAACTCCTGGGGTCAGGTGATCTTCCCACCTTGGCTGCCCAGAATGCTGGGATTACAGATAGGAGTCTCTGTACTGGCCCTATTGCCTTACATGCCCAGTACTTTATTACCTTTAAAAATACATTAATATCTGAAACTAGAACATACCCTAGGGTTTGGCACCCCTGACCCAGCGGTACTGGGAGGGACAAATTACTGTTCACGAGTAAAAGTGTCGCTCGGGGCTTGGATAAGCAATGTGTTTGGCTTTGTGCTCTGTGTTCCCTTAGAGATAGCCCTAACTTAATTTTGGTCAAGCTATTTTTAACTAATAGCTAATTTTAACTAATTTCAGTCCTAACTAAAGGACAACCTAATTTTAGTCTTATTCCCAGTGTTGTGTGATCATTACCACCATCTAATCCCAGAATGTTTCCCTGTCTTCTAACAGTACTTCTTCCTCTCCCTCCTCTGGGCAACTGCTGGTCTGTTTTCAGTATCTATGGATTTTCCTGTGTACACATTGCATAAATGGAACATGCAGTAGATGGTCTTTTGTGTCTGGCATCTTTTCACTTAATGTTTTTAAGGTTCATCTGTGTTATAGCATATATCATGATTTAATCCCTTTTTTATTTTTATTTTCCTTTTGATGCATATACTGGATCGGGTTTTCTAATACTCCTTTTAGGATTTTTACATCTGTATAAATGAACAGATTGTTTTCTCTTCTTTGTTCTGCCTTGACTGACTCTAGTATCATAGTTTTAGGTCATAAAATTAACTGGAAAGTATCTCCTCTTTTTGTCTTTTCTACATTTATCTAAGTTTGAATGTTGGTTAGAATTTATTTACAGAAATTTCTGGGTCTGGTTTTTTTCTTTGTGAGAATGAGCATCCAGTTGGAATTTTTCTGTTACACCAAAGATGTTTAAGTTTATTAAGACACTCTTAAAACCATTTCAGTAGTCTCCCCCTTTCAATCTTAATATGTTTACATTATCTTCCTTCTTTTTTCTTTGATTATTGTCACCAAAGATCAGATTATTTTTATTAGCCTTTTCCAATAGATAACTCTTGGCATGATTAACCTTTATTGTAAGTTTGTTTTGTGTCTAATTCATTTCTGCTTCTCTTTATTCTACCTTTTTGCTGTTTAGAAAATATGTTTTTCTTTTTTCATTCTTTCATTTTTAAAACTTCCTTATTTGAAGATTTTGACCATTTTCTCAAATGAGCATTTGATCTGAAATTTCCCTCCATGGTACTCCACCTGCTCCCAGAATTTTAATACGTAATGCTTTCTTTTTGTTTTTATTGAGTTATTTTCTAAATTGTATTATGATTAGTTTTATTCTTTTAGGTCTTGGGTTAATTTAGGATCGTGTTTTTTTTAGAGACAGTCTGACTTTGTCACTCTCATTAGAGTACTGTAGCGTCACAGTTCACAGCAACCTCCAGCTCTTGGGCTTAGGCGATTCTCTTGCCTCAGCCTCCTGAGTAGCTGGGACTACAGGTGCCCACCACAACACCTGGCTATTTTTTGTTGCAGTTTGGCCCGGTCTGGGTTTGAACCTGCTACCCCTTGGTATATGGGTCCAGTGCCCTACCCACTGAGCCACAGGCAATGCCCATAGGTAGGATCGTGATTTTAAATTTCTGAGCTGGCTGGGTGTAGTGGCTCACACCTGTAATCCTAGCACTATGGAAGGCCGAGGCAGGTGGATGCCTGAGCTCACAGGTTCAAGACCATCCTGAGAAGAGTGAGACTCCTGTCTCTAAAAATAGCTGGGCATTGTAGTGGGTGCTTGTAGTCCCTGCTACTTAGGAGGCTGAGGCAAGAGGTTTACTTGAGCCCAAGAGTTTGAGGTTACTGTGAGCTATGAAGTCCTGGCACTTTACTGATGGCAACAAAGTGAGACTCTGTCTCAAAAAAAAAAAAAAAAAAATTCTGAGCAGGTGAATGTTTTTATATTTTATAAATTTTTAACTTAACTGTAGTAGATCAAATTGTATACTTTGTGTGATCCTAATTCTTTGACATTTTCAAAGATATTTTATGGCCTAGATAATTGTCAGTTTTTTAATATTTCATATTTGCTCGATAAGATATATATCAGCATGCTAATATATTCATTAACTCAGGCTTATTAAATCTTTTGCTCACATCTCCCATGCTAGAGAGGAGGGGCGGCATCTCTCTTCTGTGGACGTTGCAGGTTTTCCTTACTGTTCTTCCTGTGTTTGCTTTATCTAGTCTGGAAGTATGTTTTGAAGCACAAACAAGCTTAAGATTTGTATGTTGCCCTAATTAATTGAACTTTTACCCATTTTTAGTGATCTTTCTTTTGTCTTTAATAGTAGTTTTTGTTGTTCAGTCTGATTGGTCTAATATCAATAGAACTGTAGTAGAGTCCCTTCCTTTTAGTAAGTACTTGAATATTATTTACTTTTTTCATATTTTTACTTTGAGTATTCCTGTGTTTAGGTAGATCTCTTACAGACACTGTGGCTTGTGTTCTAACAAATCCACTCTGTCCACCTTGGCTTTTAACTGATAAACTTAGTTCTTTTACAGTTAGTTTGGTTATTCATGTAATTGATCTTGTTACTTACTGCCTCATTCTGTGCTTTCTACTTATGTCACCTTTTCTGTGATTGTTCCCCTATTACAGAAAATTAGGGAGTTGGATTTTTTTTTCCCTATTGTGCCTTATTTTGGATTTTTTTTTTTTTTGCCTGAATCCAAATCATCTTCAGTTTTTTCTTCTTCTCTACTAATTTGGAAGTTATGTGTGCTATTTTTGTTCTTTCAGTGGTTATCTTACAAGTTTTATCATGCAGACTTTAAAGCTAAAGTAAAGGCATTTTCCTAGTTCCTCTTCACAAATGTAAAGACTTTAAAACATTTTCACTCTGATAGCTGGCCGCCTTCCCAGCCTACATGCCGCGTTGTCCAGAATATACGGACAGTGTTTGTTTTCACACAGTTACTTCTTTTACTTCATTTTTTCTTGTATCATAGACCTGACATCTGGGAATTTCATTCTGCCCAACATTCATCTTTAAGAATTTTCTTTGCAATGAGGGCCTGCTTGGTTTAAACTCTTTTTTATAAATTGGCCAATCTTCTTTTAGCCATCATTCTTGTAAGATACCTTTGCTGGATCTCTCTCTATATAAGCATATGTGTCACCAGAGCATGTATGTGTATATATATTCTAGAATGACAGTTATTTTCTGTTGTTGAAGGTAACACTTAACTCTCTTCTGACTTTCATTACTATTGTTGTTAAGTCAGCTATCATTTTGTTTTCTTTGCAGATGACTAGTTTTAGAACAATTTTTTAAATATTTGTGGTTGCTTTTGATATCTTGTCTTTGGTGAATGACAATTTCAGTACTATGTTCCTAGTTGCGGATTTTTGTTTGTTTGTTTGTTTTTATCTTGTTTGGGAGTTTTTGGGCTTCTGAAATCAGTGGATTGTTTTTCATCAGTTCTAAAGAATTCTTGGCATTTTTCTTTAAATTGCTTCTGTCCCATGCTTCTCTTCTCCTTCTGGGACGTCGATTAGATGTACACTAGACCTTTTGCTCTGTCTCCCATGTCTATGTCTCTTAACCTCTCATATTTTCTATCTCTTTGCTTCTCTGTGATTTGAAGGCAGACGAGATTGAGGTAGGTAAATATGAATGCCAGATTTGCCCTGGCTGCAAATGCTAATATTATCCCTGGGATCCAGGCATCTGGGATCCTCAAAGCCTACTCAAGATGGAAGAGTTGCACCTAAGGTGTTTGCAATAAGACAAGACCTTTGAGGAACTGTTGCAAACCATCTGCCCTCCTGGTAGATGCAAATCTAGACGTTGTGTAAATGAAAGCACCCTAGTTTAAGGCCTAAGGATTCCCACATATTAAGTTAACCAAATATGAACTCATCAACAAAACAATAAGCCACCATGGGCGAAAACAACAAGCTTCATATTTGGACGTCTAGATACTTCAGATGCTAGGAATCTGGTTTTTTTGTGACAGTAGAGCCCTTTGGGACATCTGTCTAGTCTATCATACTGACATAAGTGGAAACCTTTATAATGGGTTTTTTTTTTTTTTTTTTTTTGAGACAGAGTCTCAAGTTGTTGCCCTGGGTAGAGTGCCATGGTGTCACAGCTCACAGCAACCTCAAACTCTTGGGCTTAAGTGAGGAGTAAGGAGTCCTCAGCCTCCTAGTAGCTAGGACTATAGGCACCCGCCACAGTGCCCGGCTATTTTTTTTGTTGTAATTGTCATTGTTGTTTGTTTGAATCCCAGGCTGGGTTCAAGTCCACCAGCTCAGGTGTATGTGGCTGGCGTTCTAGCTGCTGAGCTGCAGATGCCAAACCTTTTTTTTTTTTTTTTAAAGAGACAGGGTCTCACCTACTGCGTATCCTGGAGTGCAGTGGCCATAGCTCACTGTAACCTTGAACTCCTGTGCTCCAGCAATCTTCCTAAGTAACTGAGACTAGGTATGAGCTGCATACCACCACACCTGGCAAATTTAAGTCTTTTGTAGAGGTAGTGTCTTGCAGGTTGCCCAGACTGCTAGTCTGGTATTGAACCCCTGGCCTCAAGTGATTCTTCTGCCTCAGCTTTTGTTTATTTATTTATTTTTAATTTTATTTCACCTGGAATGCAGGTGGGGTGAGATTCCTGACTAGGGAGAAATTCACCTTTTTATTTTTTTATTTCTTTTTTTTTTATTTGCAGCTTTTGAAAGTGCTGGGATTATAGGCATGAGCCATTGTGCCCAGCTGATGATAATATTCTTCTGATTTTTTTTTTTTTTTGAGGAGCTTGAAAACAATGTCTTACTAGGATCTGTTAGTTTTTCTAAAATGATAGCAATAGTTAGAAAATACTATATGGAATGATTAATAAAATGATCGTTTAAGAAATCCTGAATACAATGAAAGTGAGAATCAAATAGTATACATTATTTCATAATAAGCTAGCTTTGGTAATCTCATGTATTGGAGATATGTCATTATTTTTCTGAAACTGTTCCTATTTTTAAAAACTTAATTATCAACATTCCTTCAACTCTTTTCTTCCCTGGAATTTTCAGGCGTAATATTCATGGGATAAGCAAAGAAAAAATAACAAGAATGTTGGAACACTATCAACGTTTTGTTTCCGTGCCAATCATCATGAATTCTTCAGTTCCGGAGAAAACCGAACGTATTGAGTTGTGTGCATATTCTTGTGAGAATAAAAGTACGAGGTAGGTTAAAATGCCTTATGTACAAAATTCAGTTTTAAACAGTTTTAAAAAGTATAATTTTGGAGCTTAGAAATTAACTGCTGATTAACTTTTTTTTTTCGTTTTTAAATAACTTTATAATTTCCTGATGGATTTAGTTGATTAACTTTTAAAAAGTAAGGTAGCCTTTGTCGTTTGTAAGTGTTTAGGTGTGTGGTCTTGCCGGGAGCGGGGTAGACGTATGTAGGTCTAGCAAGAAAAGTAAAAGCTCATAAGAGAGAGGGCATGGACGTGTTTTCATTATCCACAGAAGTTTGTAAGCCCATGATTATATTCCTGCCTTTTTGATGTCCTCTGCTGTTCAATATTTCCCTTATCTTCTTGTTGTTATTTTGTTTCTACTCATCTCACTTCTTCATTTCCTTAGGTTTTGGTAAGAATACCCTTTTAAGCTAATACTACAAAAATTAATTATTAATGGTATGCTTTTACTAAGTAATACAAATCATACCCTTCTAAAAGTTTACAATATCAGATAGGACTGGTTTTGTTAGGCATGTAAGACAAACAATTGAATAAATGAGTACAGAAGAACCTAAATATATGTATAGGTCTAAGTCATCCATTTTTCATGGTGGTTAGGGATGGAGAACCTCTGTTAAAAAAGAATTGGGAGTGCAGAAGAGAAAATTTATAAATGCTTTTTTTTATTGAGAAGCAGTGTAGCAAAGTGATTAAGTGCACGGCCTCTTATAGCTGTATTTCCTGAGTTCATATCCCAAACTTTGTAATCGTTGACACATTACAAAATCTCTCTATACTTCAGCTCCTTATTTCTAAAATGGCAATAATAACATTCTGCTCATAAATATCTCCTAAGGATCATGAATTAACACATAGAGAGGACGTAGAATAGCATCTAGCACATAGCTTGGTATTAGTAATGGTGTCACTTAGAAAGCCTTGATGGGAGAGTGGAACTCTGAGAGCTCCAAGGAATAAGATAAGAAAGGAAGATCAGTTGACAAATTGAATAAGGAAAAATCACTGAAGTTGAAAGTATAATGATTAGTCAAAAGTGTTCTGAGTCTGAAGTTAACATTGAGGATGGTT